GGCGGCGCCATCGTCCCCCGTGCGCGGCGGCGGCGGCGGCGGCGGCAGCCCGTGCTCGCCCCTGGCACCGGCTCCTCGTCGCTGTCGCCGCCGCGAGGCCTCGCTCGCCCCACGTCACGGCGCCCTTCCCGGGGCGCCTTCCCTGCAGGGAAGCCGGAGGTCCTTCCCAGAGGGAGGACGGCTGCGAGTTGTGTTTGGATCTGTTCCTGCTGTTGCCACCATCAAACAAAACCGCAGCCTGTGCCCGGAGCGGCCACTTTTGCCTGCGCTGATTCGCAGCTCTACAACGTGATTAACTTTATCTGCTGCAGTTCAGGGTATCCAAGGCTTGAGACCTGTGCGTTACATAAAGGAAGCCAAGGAACATGGAAATAGCACCCGCAGCCCCGGAGCTGCTGCCTCCCACGTTCCCGGGCCTGCCGGTGCCTTGCAGTTGGGTTCTGGGGGATCCTCATGATAAGGACAGACCTGTACCAGCTTTCAGATATTTGTCTTGCTTCCCTGCTGCCTTCCCTTCAGTAAAGTGCCTTCTCGTTTGTTTTGCTTCCATTCAATAAGCGTTTTTCTTAGCCACAAGAACAAGACCGTTTAAGAGGGTTAGGGCCCTGCAGCGGGGAGCACGTTGGGAAGCAGCAGCCATCTCCGTTGGCAGTTTGTGGTGTCCTAGCAATGGATAGGTGATCCTTTAAACTCATCTTGTTTCCTTACTTCACAATTAGGTAGGGAATGTCTCCCCAAGTATTGTCAAGCAGGGATGCATTTCTGTATGAGTCTGTACGAATATCAGGAGTAGAAAATATAGTTAATTGAAATCTTCGTTCTTTTCATGTTTCAAATGCTTAGCTATTTTTTAAAAACCATTCCATTAAACCTACTTGTTTGTATGCCTTTTCATAGTAGAATTAATACTGGTAGCTGGGCAGAAAACCTGGCCTATATGAAATTGTTCAGTGCTTTAACATTAAACAAGGGAGCTGTTAACATTTCAGCCTTTGCTGAGTTTGTAGCAGTGCTTTATCAAATAACATGAATTCCAATGCCACAGCTATTTGGAGAAATTCTGAGTGCTTGAAAGCATCACAAGCATCTGTCCCTTCTCCCTGCCTTTCTTTTGTGCTTGTTACCTTTTAAGATAAGTGGATAGCTTCCATGGAAAGCATCTTTTATTCAGCTTTCCTCAGGTTTAAAACACATGGCTTTTCCTTTGAGTAGAGCTCTGGGCTAGCCAGAGTGGCCCAGATTGGGTCTTCCTTTTTTTTCAGAAAAGGCTTCAAGTGACTGAGCACTTCAGAGAGGTGAGATCTGCCCCAGGGACCTTGCTCTGAGGCCCATGTGGCTGCTTCAGCACTCCAGCACAGCAGCAGCTCCAGGCATTCCAGGGGCACCAGGCAGCGTGGGAGCAGTTGGAGAAGACAGAGAGGTGGCAACAAAGGCCCCTCCAAGGAAGAGCCCTTCTGGGGATGGATGTTCTGCAGGCAGGGCTCTGACCTAAGGGCTGTTCCAGGCTGCCATTCACAGAGCTGATTTTGGCAGAGAGTAGGACTGGTAGGACTAGGCTCACGCCAGAAACTGCTGGCCAGCACCAGCTTAGAGTCTTCTCACAAATTGCATGTGTGTAATTCTAGCCAGTTGCCCAGAATATTGTAACTAGAGCTGTACTGGCCTGCAGAGAGGTTTATATCTGATTCACCACTGCAGAGCCTAAGTACTTGCACTTAGGCCTTAATTTCGCAGACATTTCAGATTGTCCTGCACCAATTCGTGCCCCTGCCTGCTCATTCCCACTAGCCCTGTGCTGCTCCTGCCCTATCCCAGCCTGAACACTGCACATGGGGAAATGAACAGAGGCAACGAGCCGGGTCAGAAGCGACCTGCCTCTGCCCTGTTCTCCTGGAGAAAGTTCCCAGTTGTAAAGGAAGAAGGTGGTGGGAATGTAGTGGACAATTTTGCTTCTCTTGGCATCAGTGTTGATTTGTTCCATCTTATTTCAACTCTGTGCTGTTGTGACTCAAGAGTAGGCTGAGAAACGATTCTTGTGTCTTCTGATAACCCTAGTGCTGCAGGCCCTGGTGTTAGGAACAGATGTGGTAGAACGTCAGAATTTGAAGGGTTTCTACAAATTACCTCTCATCAGAGAACCTGGATGAGCCATTCTGTCACTGCCCCTCCATTTCTCCTGTAAATTACAGAGGGAATAGTCATCTACCCTAGGGGATCATGAGGAATAGCTGATATATGGAACATGCTTTCAAAAGCATGAAGTGTTGAGTGCTGAATATTACAGTCCTTGTAATGGAGATTAATAATTACCAAAATATTTTGTAATGATGAAACCAGCTTCATTAACAGCATGCTTTGCTCGGGTTGTTTAGATGGTAGTTCTTTGATACTATTCACATTTTCCCATGGCTCCTTGATTGCCTTGTTTCTCTTTTGATTGAGTGTTGTATTTCTTCTCTGTTCCCTCACCAGATCTGTTTTCTTCTGCCAGGTGTTCAGGTCACAGCTCAGTATCTCTTCAGTCAGCGATCAAGATGCCTACAGAGCAGGATTACAGCCAGTTAGCCAGTGGAAAGCCTATGGCCTCAATGGCTATCCAGGTAAGTACCTCTGATTTCAAGAAAAACATAGCCTTGTTGCTTCTGATTATCTTCTTTATCCTACCTGAAACATCTGTTTTGTTCTGCCTAAACATAATATAATGTTAGTTTAAGTGGAGAAGGACAAATGAGTCAGCCCAGAGCTGGGATGCAGCAGTGTAAGAAGGTCAGAACAGAAGGACCAGTAGGTTTATGGTCTCTGTCAACCAGACCTTCCTCTGGGAGAATGGATCCCTGTTGCCATACACCTTGATTGAGATTTTGTATTTCTGTAGCATCCCTTTTTCATCAAAAATATGTTATGAACATTAAATAGATGAGTGAAATGTAGTCATTTCAGGGCTGCAATGTGGCATTTACTCACTAGTGTAGAGCAGTTAGTACAATAAGTGACTAGAATCCCCTCAACCTATTCCAAGTACAGAATAATTTCATAAAGCGGCTTATTTCAAAAGCTAAAATGCATATTAGGTTTTCAGTTCACTTGAAATAATCACAGAAAGATTTGGGATTGGAAGGGGCGTCCAGAGGTTTCTAGTTCAACTCTCTGGTTAAAGGAAGACCAACTTGAGAGTTAAATCAGGGTGCTCAGGGCTTGAATTTTGGAAATCTCCAAGGATAGAGATTAGCAGCATCTCTTGGCACTTGTTTCAGTGTTTGGCTACTATCATTATGATTTTTTTCTCTTCATATTTAATTGGAATTTGCCTTGCTGCAACTCATGCCTATTGCTTGACATCCTCTTGCTGTTCACCTCTGAGAAGAAACTGGCTCCATTTCTCTGTAATTCACCTTTAGATTGCTGTTCTTAAAGCTGCTCAACACTCAGGCAGCCTCCACTGCCACAAGGCTGCACCACTGACTCGTGCTCAGTGTGTCCTCCAGGACCCCCTGGCCCTTTGCTTTAGAGCTGCTCCCTGGTCTGTCAGTCCTCAGCCTGTGCTGGTGATGGAGCTGTTCTTTCCAGGGGCAGGATTGTCTCTGTTGACCCTCGTGAGGTTCTTTTAGGCCCGTTCTTTCAGCATGTCAAGGTGTCTCTAGTGGCAGCTCAACCACCCAGCACGCAGGCTGCCCTCCCTAGTTTGGTGTGATCTGTGCGTGTGATGTGGGGAAATGTCCCATCATCCAGGTTGCTGATGGAGGTATTAAAGCAGCTGTCAGTCCTGGCATCAGTATCAAACTGAGAAATGTCACTCAAACCTGGCCGCTGGTTAGACTCTGAACCATCAACCCTTTGAGCTTCTGTCTGCTTTGACAAAGAAAACCTTTTACTGAAACGAAATGCCAATACATTAACAAATCCTCAGTCCTGCTCACAAGTGAGTCCTATGTGGGTCAAGAATACCAACAAATTACCCTTTTCCAGCAGCCTTTATCTGGGCATCTTAAAGAACTTTAAGATGTTCAAGTAAAGGCTCTATAAGATAAGTTAGAAGGGTCCTTACTATGTCTGTGGGTAAATGGAATTGAGGTCACCTTGTGCTGGCCCTGCTGTGAGCACAAGGAAACATAAGATTAAAGAAACTAGGTGAATTTCTGTTGCAGTGTCCTGTGTTGTGAGAGAAGTGGGAAGTTGCTGACGTTGGGGCTTTGCTATTTCCGTAAGTAGGTTTTCTGAATGGGTTGTCCTTGTTGCTAGACATGTGCAGGTCTTATCTTTCTTTTGGCTGAGGCTGGGGATTATTTTCACAAGGGGTAAATTAATACTTAGTATGCTATAAGATTTTACTGCAATATGAAAATTGCATCTCTTCCCTCAATGCTGATCGACAAATAATCCATCTTTTGCTTATTCCAGTCAGGCCAACACTTCTCAGGCTAAGAGCCTCGACTCCCTTCAGAGCTTGTGCGTGGTGCTTTTTAGCCAGCTTAGAAGGATTTCTACAGAAATGTATTTCTTGCTCTTCCCCCTCCTGTGTGTGACTAAATCCCTGCCTTCTGGCACTATTAGCACTCTCAGGAACTATTACAGCCTTGGCTGCTAGCGTAGCTCGTGGGAATAGCTGCCTAGTGTAGTGTAGGCCTTTTGGCCTTCTTTGACATCGAAAGCATAGAGGGGAACTGCGTTTTGCTTGCCTATCCTTTTATAAATCTATACTAAATCTGTTTCTTTGGAGTAAATGAAAAATTTGGGGACATGAGTGTGTTCTAAGCTTCTGACATGAGAGTGAATTTGGATTCCTCTTCCTCTTTGTGGGTATAACTAGTGCTCTGGGCTTCAACTTCTGCAGGAACATCTGGAGATAATCCAGGTGTAGTACAGCATGCAGGTGGAGGGCAACATCATTCACGTAGTAGTGGAGTGCTCTGGGAACCCAACAGGAGCAGTTGTAGACAGGAAGGGCAGCGAGGTTGTTCTGTACCACACAGAAACCAGCAAAAGTAAATGTAATGCTTTTGGCAAAGAAACTTCTGGTGACTAGGCTTGTCAGAAGGCTCCCCATAGTGTGAAAGAGCAGGGGATTGAGATGGATGCAACCAGGTTTATTTGGAAATAAGCATAAGCAAAGGAGACAATAATTAGCATTAATCAACTTGTTGAGCCTAAGAACTGCTCTGTGCAGTCCATGACCCCGAAGTAGCAGTTAGAAGACTGAATGAGTTCAGAGGCAGCATCCATTTTAGTTTGGAATCTAGAAAAAAGAGTTTAACTTGCTAAGTTCAATGAATAATACTGGAGCATTTCAAAATCAAACTTAGTTACTCTAAAGCAGCTGGCTTTCCATGTTCTTAGCCCTTAATCAATATGCTTTGTAGAAATGTTCTTTACTGTAATCTTCTGTTTAGACCAGCCTTGGCTGCCCTCCCTGCATTCTATCTTATACCCCTATTTGTTTGGACTGATAAAACAGTAGGTTTTAACTTATCTTTTACGACTTGTTAGTAGGTTTGATCTGCTCACCTGCAGAGTCACTAGTTGTACATCTGTTTCTTCAGAACCGTCTAACCCCTATCCTTTAACCTATTTAAAAAAATAGGAATATACCTAATCATACTTTCTCTTCTCTTCTCTCTCTCTCTCTTTTTTTCTTTTTTTTTTTTTTTTTTTTTTTNTTTTTTTTTTTTTTTTTTTTTTAATCTTCCTTCACTCTTTCTGTCTGTGGTCAGGGTTTATTTTCATACCAAACCCTTTCCTTCCGGGCTGCCAGCGTCACTGGGTGAAACAGTGTCTCAAGCTGTACCCCCAAAAACCCAATGTCTGCAACCTGGACCTGCACATGGCTCCTGAGGAGACCATTGATCTGTGGGGGCAGAGCAAGGAGCAGCTGAGGTGAGTCCTGCCTCTCAGAATAACCTCTCAGAGTCAAAATTAACAAAGTAAAAATGCTCAGCCCTGAGAAGAGCTAAGAAAAATCTTTGGGGTGGAGGGAGCTGAGAAAGATCAGGTATGTATGGTCACTGTGTGCAGGTGATACCTGTTTTTAACTACAGTATTAACATGTCCTTTACAAACTGCACACGTGGACACTCTGTGCCTTCCCTCTGCATGTTCACATAGAGGAAGAAACCACTTTCTGCTCTGATCAGTTGTAGAGGTTTATTGCACGAGCACATGATCAGAACTGCTGCCTTATCACGGGTTAGTAACGTTCTGCTTGCCAGTAACTGAATGTGCAAGTGGCCCTGGTTGTGGCCACCAAGTAAGGTGCATGTGTTGTGCAGCACCTTTATAATTACTGCAGCTCTGGTAAGAAAATAGAAGGTGAATAAGCTATCAAAGCTAGCTTGTGATCACTATTTTTTTTCCCACAGAGCTAATATTTTAACCTTTCCTGGTAATGGAGCATCGTTGCTCATCCAGTCTGAAAGTTGTGATTAAATGTACCATTTTAATGGCAGTCCTCTTTACTGTGAAAGCAGAACCTGACCCACAGGTTCACAGGTCTGTGGGGGCTGCCTTTTCTGTACCTGCGTGATCTGGAAGTACATAGGGAATTAAATGGAGAATTTGTCCAAGTTTTAAAGCCCTTTTATTTGCAACCAGAGTCACCAATAAAAATAAGATGTATGCTGTTTATGCATATATATGGTATATGCTTTGGTGATTTCACTGTTGATTATCATTAATGGCTGTTTCATTGGCTGGAATGACCAGCGGTCCCTACATCTGTCATCCTCCAGTATATTAGTAGAAATCACATGCGGAGATTTTACTTAAAAATACTTTTCACATCTGCAGGATACAGCATAGCAAAAATAAGACTTTGACTCCTAAACATTTGCCCCTAGAAGTGAGGCCCCTACTTCAGTTTTCCAGGCTTAGTCAGAGTTAGATAAATTCAGAAGCTTTTCTTGTGTTTTAAATGTTGACTTTTACGTTTGTGTTACCTCAGGCACAAAAGATTGTTCTTTGAAAGGTGGTCTGCACTGTGCTCTAGAGCTGAGAAAAGTGAGGGACTGTTCCAGCTCGACAGGCCTTTCCCTCAGCACTCCTCCATGCAGGGACGGGCAGAACAGAGGTTAATTTGCAGTTGCCTCCAGCTCAGTTGGAAACAGTATTACAGACAGTGATGGCTGACAGAAACACTGGCCATTTTATTAAGCACTTGCCCAAGACCTCCTGGGGTTGCACCCAGCTTTAATACTTTTTGAAGCAAGGAAAAAGAATGAGAGATGTGTGTGGTCATGGCCTGTCTCTCTGCAGGGTGCAGGAATCCCCAGCTAGGGAGAGGCCGTGCAGCTCCCAGCCGTGTGTTCTGTGCTGTCTTCACAAAGTGGAGCTTGCGTGTTTTCTTGAGCACTGAGGACAACTAAAAGTACTGAAGAGCACAGAGCATCCCTATAAGGGATATATATGTGTGTGTAGGGAAAGGAGGGGAAATATTTTGTAGAGATAATCACTTACTGGGCAATAAAGAGGAAAAAATAAAAATAAAAAGGCGCTTTAGAGCAAAGCCTTTGCTCTTCAGCCTTGTTCTCTTTCTCACATTTATAGCAGAGCTCCTCAGGGCTTTCTTCCAGGAGCACCTGCTTTTATAGCTCTTAGGAGCTCCCTGTCTCCAGATAACAAAACACTTCCTCTGCTCTCCTTAGCAATCGCACGTGAAGCGACATGCAAAATTCTAGGGCGTGAGAATAAGGAAGTAGAGAGTAGAGAGTTCCTGCTCCTGTGCAACCACTGTAGCATTGCAGTGAAGAAAGATGAAGGGCACTTTGAAGGTGCAGGTGTTAAAAAAATGTTTAATTATGAACATTAAGTTTGACATTTGAAAAATATAGAGGAAAAATACAGAGGAAAGAGCCATGGGCTCCCTCTTTTTTAAATGCTGTATTACCTACTCATAGGCTCCATAAATTATACAAGCAGCCAGTTACTGTGTTGCTGCTTTGTGGTAATTGTAGTTACCATTAGTGCATGACAAACAAGGAACTGGAAAGATGACTTTCAATAAGCTCTGTGCTCTGAAAAATCGCTCCAGGTAAAGAAGCTGCCCTTTAGTTCCTGTTCCTGGTTCAGCTCAGGAACTGTTAGTACTGGAGACCAGCCCAGGTGAAGGGCAGAAGGAAGCTGTGTACCCAGGCAGAAATGCACATGAAATGCAGGTGCTTGGCTGGGACTTGACCAGGGCAGCACAAGCAGCCTCCCGTTTTGTACAACAGAGAACTAATGAGCCAGTAAATGAGAGTGAACCGTCTGGTGCTACGATTTATCATTAGCTTCTGGATATCTTTCCCTTTTCTTTCTTTCTTCACAACAACATGATTTGGCTTGAGCATAGAAGCTGAAATTGCTGAAATAATAGAATGGAATACACACATGTACCCTTTCATATTTGACACTAGCATGATTCTGTCTGATTTACTAGAGTAATACTTAATGCAACTCTACAATCATTCTTCTGTTAGACATAGTAAGAGTCCATGCCCCTGGTGTCTTCTGGATCCTCCCCTTACCTTCAAGCAAGCAACATAAACTGGTGTGTGGTTTCAGACTATCTGGCCCCTCTGCATTAGGGTCGTCACTCTGCCATTCAAGAACAAGAGTTACTGCAATACATGTTAAGATGTTCTGTCCTAAAATATTTCGTGTGAGCTTTTTGTCCTGTGTGGCAGTCTGAATAGGAGCCGCCAGCACCCTGGTGCTAAAGCAGCCTCCTTCTTTCCTGAGCGTTCAGTCCGTTTGCCCTAGACACCTCCTATTAAAGGTACCAAGCAGTAGAACTAATAGCCCGTTGTTTAACAGAGTATTATGCAGCTTTAATTACTTCACCATTAAGCAAAGTTATTTTCTTCTTGATATACTCCACTTAATGCCTTGAGCATATTTTTTTGTTCTCTGTATTTGTACCTTCTAGATTTTGACAGATTCTGCTCCTTCACTCCACATTCCTTGAAATGCACAAAATTCACCATGCTTAATTGTTAACCAATTTTCTAAATCTGCAGCAGTTCCCTGTGATGTCTCCCTCTGATAACCTCTGCTTGATACCATGTTGAAAATACAATTTTTCAAGCTGGCAGCAGTGTGCAGTAGGCCCTGCAGTTTGCACAAGCAGTATGAGCTGAATTTTCAAAGTCTTTAGAAAAAAGAACAAAGTCTTTAGAGAAAAAAACAAATTGAAAATAAAAGTTTAGCATGGACAGTCTTAATAGGCTGTTGTAGAGATGAATAACTCGTATTACTGTATTCTTCAGTACCAGAAAACCTGTTTAGAAATTAGTGTGAATCTCACTTCTTTCAATTTTGTCTTTGCAGAAGAAAAGGTTCTGGTAAAAAGGAGCCCAGGAGTTTATTGGAGAAGCTGCGCTGGGTGACCCTTGGTTACCATTATAACTGGGATACCAAGGTACTGAAATTGTTCTGTAAGTGCTCAGCATGTCAGACAGAGGAAGATACCATTGAATAAAGTGATAGTAAAATGCTTTTTTTGATCCTAAAAGACAGTCTTCAGGATGGCTGGAGCAAGCTGTGCCTGTAAGAATGTTTTAATCTGTAGGAGTTTATTGTAAAGGATTTAACCACAGAAGTCCCTGTTGTGTTCTTTCCTTTGAAAGGGACATGGTAGAATAGACAGTATATGCTTTGTCCTAGACCCATGACTCCATTACAGAATGACTGAGCTTTTTTTTCCTTACCGAAAGAAATGGTCTCCAAAGCATCATCAGGTAGTTAGGGTGGGAATGACCTTGAGTGTTTGAAGAACGCGACTTCTGAGAAACCTACTTCTTGTTGGAGGGCTGAGGGACAGCAGGCAGAGCCTGCTCCTGAGGTGACTTTGAACTTCACACCTGAGCTGGATAGCAGGGTCTTACCAGCTGACAGCTATTTTGGAGCTCCTGAATGCTGTGGAGACCAAAATGGGTTTTTTCATCACGTTGAATCTGATGGGGGCTGAGAGAAGGGGCAGAGTAAGTAGGCAGGGTATCAGTAGGTTGCAGATACTCAGCCCAATTAGCTTTCAGCCTTCTCTTAACAGGGTCAGCCTATTACTGGAAAGCCGTGATAAAAACTTGGTTGCCCTCTTAGAATCATAGAATGCTTAAGGTTGGAAGGGACCTCAGAGGTCAGAATGTTCTTCTTAGAAGATTTTCTTCTTAGAAGAAGATCTTCTTAGAAGATTCCTTCTGTTCTTAGTCAAAATCATTCAATGGAGAGAGAAGTAGGTCTGCAGTTTATTCCTGTTTGCCTCATTCTTCAAAGATGGAACAAAGACACTTGGTTCAGAGCGTTGAGCAGACACAGAGCTCTACAGAGGCAGCCTGAAGTCTCAGCCAGGACAAAGGGGGTCCTGGCTGAGAGGTTTGTGGTAGGCTGTGGAAGGCTGTATAAGGAAGTTGGTCCTAATCCTAAAGTCCTAATATTAGTGACTTCAAGTTTGCCATTAACTCCATGAATATCATCCAGCTATCACTATGAAACAGGCATAAGTATTTGGCAGTCTCAGGACAGTCCTAGAATTAAATTATAGGGAGAAAACTTGCTATAGTTCTGCATGCGATGTAATCATTCCCCGAGCAGGTGTTTCCTTCTCTGTGACCACCAGCCAAACTTTTTTGAGTTTTCATTCAGTGTGTTTCCAGTTGTATTTGCTGTTCTGATATTCTGGCTTTTTTTTTTTCCGTCCTCCTCCCTGCAGAAGTACTCAGCAAATCACCACACTCCTTTCCCCTCAGACCTCGCATTCTTGTCAGAGCAAGTGGCTGCAGCATGTGGGTTCCGGGGTTTTCAAGCCCAGGCTGGGATCTTGAACTACTATCACTTTGATTCTTCACTGGGAATACACGTGGATGAGTCTGAATTGGACCATTCTCGGCCTCTTTTATCATTCAGGTGAGTCAGGGAAAGCACTTCAGGCTTGGGGGCATTTTTTTGTGCAGTTACATACGGTTATAGGAAGTTGGTATGACTAATTTTGCAGACTAGATGTGTAATTTTCGGTCTCTGAGTACCTTGTCTAACAGGAAGCTGGAACTCAAGGGCACAGGTTTATTGAAACCCTGAATAGCAGTGGATGTGGCATTTCAATGGTAAAGCCCTTTGCAGAGTTATAGTTCTGTGCTAAAGCAAGTAGAGTGGTGATTGGATGCTAAGTGGCAAGGAAGAAATACCTCAGCACAGTTGCAAACCTGGCAGGAGCCTGCTCATGCTAGGCTTGACTTAAGCCAGGCCTATTAGTCCCTTCTGTGTGCTCTTACAAAGTTGTAACCAGGGTCCATGCAGCTTTTCAAAATAAATGTAGCTGCTATTACATGCTTGTACATACAGTGCCTTGCTCACGGCCTTAATCTGCTGTCTCTTTCTGCTTCCCTCCCCAGTTTTGGGCAGTCGTCCATATTTCTGCTGGGGGGCCTGCGGCGGGAGGAGGCGCCCACGGCCATGTTCATGCACAGCGGGGACATCATGGTGCTGTCGGGCCGGAGCCGCCTGCTGCACCACGCGGTGCCCCGCGTGCTGCCCGGCCCCGGCGGCGCCGCCCTGCCGCCCTGCCTGGAGCAGGCGCTTCCCGCCGGCCTGCCCGCCGGCGCCGTCGTGGAGCGCGGCTCCGAGGAGGACTGGCAGGTCTGTGCCAGCTACCTGCGCTCCTCCCGCATTAATGTGACCGTCAGGCAGGTGCTGGCTGACGGGCAGGAGTTCCCGGAGGAAGCCGGGGCTAATGGAAAGGGCCAAGCACCCGCTGAAGATGGTCAGCACCGGGAGAAGAGACACAAAACTGACAGCTGAGACGGGGACATGGTGCTGGCGGGGACTGCACTGGTGGCTTCCGCCGCGGGGAACTCGCGTGCGCAGGCTGGACTGTGTGGGGATGAAGGAGCTTTGCAGAGTGTGTCCCTTGTTGCTGGGAGAAAGAGGTGGTGGTAAGACTGAATTTAAAAGGAAAAGAGGGATTATTTCAGGACTGGGACTCAGATGATCTCTTGCAGTTTGGTTAGAAATGTTTTCTGAATTCAGATTTCACTGAAACAGCTGTATGGCAGGGAATTTTAAACTTGGTTTAGTGATGTTCACATTGTATTTTGAAATAGCTGGACAGAACACATTAGCAAAAAAGAATATATAGTTGCTGTGTATTAAAGAAAACTCTGGGGCTTGTAAAGCTCAGTTGCAGTGTACTGATCATTTACAAGTGCAAGTGGAAACAGACTGCCATGAAAATGAAAGCTGCTTCCAGCGCTTCTCCAGCTACAAGTTGCTCAGTGCTCCCGGCCCAGCAGCTCCCCCGTGCCACAGCTGTGTACACCTGCAGCACTCCAGCCTACCTGCCTGCCTGCACCCCGCCAGCTGCTGCGGGGACTGCTGCTGTTAGTGTAACTGCACTTGCATACCTCACATTCTAGGGAGTATGGGGGCAAGAGTTCTTCAGACAACTCCTAACTCCCAGTTGATTGCCCTCCCAACAGATCCTGTGGGATTGAACCCTTCATCCCTGCTGTTTGAGAACTGCAGCTGTTCACTGCCTGTAGAGGATGGTCCTGCACTTCCAAGCAGGCATCTTTAAGGAGCAGAAGGGCTTAGAAGGAGAAAAAAAGAAATTGTAAATGAAGTACCCAAAAAAAGAAACTAATCAATGATTATCTCTACCACCCAGAAGATAAATGTAACAAAACAAAGAAAAATGCGAGCTTTTGTGCCTGTTCTGTTTAAGACTCAGGCTTTCCTGTCTGTTTTTTAATGCATTTTAATTGTTGGAGTGGAATACTCTGTCCCTGGGGTATTTTGTCATGCTTTCCCAATGAATAAACTTAACTCTATTTTTAAATTAAAGATCTCTATCAGTTTGCGGCTTGTTTTGTTATTGTTTTCGTACCTGTGAGTTATTTTGCTATTCTGCTAATGCTGTCGCATCCCTTGTGCTGTTTCCCTCTAGGCTGCCTCTGGATGTGCTGCCTCTGCCATCTGCTAGCACTGGAGGAGGAGCCCTGCTCTTAGCCCAGGGCTCCCCTGCTTATTTGTTGATCAGGGTGTTGAGCAGTTGCAGAAAGGTACTGCCTGCAGAACTGAATTCCAATTGAATACGTGCCTGGTGTCTCTTCCTCATGGGGGAAGTGCCTTGCGTGTGTGTTTCAGAGCAGGTGAATATTGGTGTGTACATGTGCAGTTAATTCCCTTTACAACACTGAAGTGACCTCCAAAAAAATTAATGCCTAAAATCATCAGATGTGGGTTTTCGTACCTCATTTCCATGTTCTGTGCCAAAAATCTATCTACATTATAGGCCTTACACATTAAACCCGAGTCCTGTAGGAGTGAATACTGTTGTGGAGAGATACTACAATATGACTGGTCTAGAAGGGAACTCTGACCGTGGCCTAAGTGTAGAAAAGCGTAAAGGTCCCTAGGGAAGACCTGAAAGGGGAAGGAGACACTGTATTTTCCCAGCCATGAGAAGGTAGAGTTTACATTCTCAGCACACAGTGCAGCAGAGATCTGCCTACTCACTCATCACTGAAGACTAGAGAAGACAGACATGCACGCAGAGAGGTGACTGGGAGGCAAATGACTCTGGTTCCCTCACAACCTGCTGACGTTTAAGTCTATCTTCCTTTCTTAATGTGTTAGTGAGTTGCCTACAAACATGACAGATGCAAAGCAATTATTTTTTGCAGCATTCAGTAGTTGCTGTGGTTCAAGGACAAGAAACCCTGCTGGGCAAACCTGTGCAGTCTGAAATGCAGAACATGCTGCAAACTACTGATAGCTGTGAGACCTGGGAAGGATCCAGAAGCTATGGAAGTTGGATGCTTAGATGAGGACTGAGATGAGAATTTGCTGAGCTCCTGACTGAAATCAGGTTCATTATCTAATGTGGCTAGTTTGTGGCTGTTCAATGAACTGTTTTCCCAGAAAATGAGAAGTCTGTGGTTCAGAAATGGCCACACCAGAAATGACTCCAGAAGAACAAAACAAACAAAAAACATGTACAAAGAAAAACAAGTAAAAGAATGAAGAATATCCTGGACTTTCAGTCCGACCGGAATATTGGTTGTATGACTATATTAGAGGCGAAGAGCAGAGTACAAATAGGCAAACTGCAGGACTTGGGCAGGCTCAGTGAATTGTGCTCCCCCACCTTGATTTTGAAGAGGCAACAACAGCCTCTGGGCTGAAAGCAAAGCCTCTGGAAAGAAATCAAGGAGTATGGAGTTGATGGAGTGATATCTAGAATTCTGCTATTTTTTCTGTTGGAAAGAATGATTGGGAAAGAACTGACCTAATCTGAACAGTTCTCAGGTTACGGCACTTGCACCACATCCGTTCAGGTTTGCACTGGCAAAAGATTTTCCATAGTCCTGATGAAGTTTTTGTATCTATATGTACCACAAATGTTTGTTTGTGTTCATATAAGTACATGCTGAGATCATGTCTGTAGATTTTAATTGCTCTAAAGGAGAAGTCCTGCCCAGAGACCACAAACATAAAATTGCATCCGTGCCATAGGAAGCGTCTCTGGATGCCCTGCCACGAGCAGCTGAGGGGAGGGGATGAAGAGGACACCCGGGCAATCCTCTGCAAGGAAGCTAATGCAATCAGCTGGGTCCAGGAAGATAATGCCGTGTTTCATTCAAAGCCACCTGGAAATGAAGCATGTTGTTTACATCTACTCTGGTCTTTATGTGATGTATAGATACATTTAACTCTCCAACAGACTGTAAACAACTACTGAGTTTTATGTAATCTAGATTAAAGGGAAAATCAAATCTTTAGATAAAATCAGAATCAAAACAATACTGGAGGCAGAAGAAGAAACTACTTATACAGTTACAGGTAGTAACTTCCTAGCAAGGCAGGCCCTAGAGTTATGTCTGCTGCCTGAATTTAAATCCTGCCACAGCTACAAGTCCAGATTGAAGGTGGCTGCATCTTTAGCTCACAGTGCAAAAAAAAATCATGGATCTGTCTTCATCTGTTCATGTAGCTCATTCCCATTCTCCACATCACTCCCGAAGCTTGAGATATTTAACATGGAAAAGAGAGCTGGTGACAAGGTTTATGTCCCACTTAATCACAATGCAAGATTAATTGAGCTATAATCCAGTGTGTTCTAAGTATGCTTTAGTTCTGATGAGATCAGGAAAATTGTCCAAGTACAAAAACATTCCTCAAAGTGTTAACAGAAGTACAAGGACTCCAGAAATTTTTGATTCAGAAGAATTAAGTCATTGATGGTCTAACAAGAGGAGGTTTAGTAGAAGATCTCTATGCAAAAAGAGGTCTTGATAGAAAACCAAAGAGGTAAAGACAAGAGTGGGAAGTTGAAAATAATGCCCATCCTAGAATAAGACTCTAGTTCACAGGTTTCTTGAGTGCCCGGACTAGTGACAGTCCTCTACATCTGCTGATGTCTCTGAACGTCCTAATATCAAATCTGGCTGAAAACAGCCTGTAGCCTGACCTGCTACAGGTCAGCCACAGATCCAGCACAAGAGACACAAGATGTTGCTAACAGGAGTTTAGCAAGGTCCAAAATATGTGCAGCTATTTCTGTTGAGCAAATAAATAGTAGTCAAATGCCTGCATTTATACCTTTAATGCAGGTTTTGTCTGGACTTTTCCAACAGGTCCTGCTTTGAGGTGTTTTGATCCTGGGGTACTTCTGGAGAGATGAACACTCTGGAATATCAGAATAATTTAGTCTAGTGAGCATCCTCCCGCTCCAGTTCCTGCTATTTTATGTGTATGTCCATCTTAGGAAGATGTGAGCATGCCCAAAGTTCCCAATCAGGTTTATCTGCTAAATGCTTATCTCCCCAAGTTAATTAAGTTGTCTGGAGGATGGCAGGAAGCCACATCTGATTTTGATTCACATCCAGGCCTTGTGCTCAGGTAGGCATTACAGCAGGTAGCTGCCACGTGCACTACCCAGGGCAATGAGGAGAGATGGAGTAATGTCTGCAGCGGCTTTTCCTCTTCGCAGAAGAGAAGCTTCTTCCTCCGGATACCCAGAGGAAGTCAGAGGAGTCTACCTCTCTCTGAGCCTGTCCTGAGTTGTTGCTGTCGAGCATCCTCTTTCTCAAAATCCCCATGTGAAGTAGATACTCCCCAACCTAATGTTTGGGAGGTCCTCCTTTCAGCCATTCTCTTTCTGTGCTTGTCATGTTCATTAGCACCAGCGTGAAATGAACTGAATGGCCTTAGGGCTGAAGCCTCCCTTACCATCACTGAGAGCTCCACGCTGCTAGGTGAGCTGCAGGGGGCCATCTGCCCATGACTCAGCTTTTTACATCTTTCATGCTCAGATCTCAAAGCATTTCCAAAATGTAAGTCAGGCCCACTAGCCTCTTGAAAGCAAGGAGTAATGCCAATTTATTTCAAAAGGTGTGAGAAACTGAATTCACGGTAAGGCAAGGTAAAATGAAACATGCTCCTGAACATTTCTGTTGAAACCACCTATAGAAAGTAAGAAGACTCAAAGACATACTGCTTTTTTATTCCCTGGTGTTGGGAAGTCAGCTTCTTACACTAGCTTTTAGCTTCCTTCTAGGTGAATTTAAAACTCTAATTCTGCATTTATTGAGAAAGACCAGAAGAATCAATAAAGGCCTTGGCTTTCTGGAGCTGATCTTCTCACCAATCATTTCTGTCTCTGTTCTATGCTAGGGGCTTAGATAAGAAGGTTTTGTTTTTGTTTGCTTTCTCCTTAATGGATAGGTTTGTTAATCAGGATGGGGGAAAAATGACTGCAATTTTGCCTTGGCAAATTAAAACTACAATGAGGTAGCAAAGAGCAGGGTCTGGAGGAGAGGGGGGCAATCCAAGACAGCTATTGATCTTGAAATGATGGAGGAGCCAGAGGAGAGCACATACAGTCTGAAAAGGATACTCATTCTTCAAAGCACTCTTCTTGCTTAAAAACAATCAGTCCAGGCAGAAGGATTGGTTGTACGTGAAGCTTTGGCATTATCTTTGTTTTCAGACAGAATTTCAATTTTGGAAAGAAACGTTGGTTCATAAAGCAGATGTCTCCTTAAACAAATCTTAGGACTGTCGAGCCAGGAATCCAGGGATGGACCTAAACAAAAGTAAACTTGGACTATCCAGAAGTTGTTAGTGGTAGTTGTAAGGAAAAAGGTTTAGAAATAGTTCCCCCGAAGGAAGAGCGATAAACATCACTAATCACAGTCAAGGCAGGAAGACAGGCTAAATACAGGACTAGGCCAAGATTTACCACCCTTCTCATCCTCACTTATTGCACAGCATGTCCGATCTTTCCTAGAATGCAGCAAATTGCTCTGCCACTGACTTACTTATCCCAGTGGGATCAAGTCCAGCTAGATCTTTCTGCTGCTGCAGTCAGCACTTCCACGTGCACTGGCCTTTTCACCCTTGGCTTTCCACACAACATTCTTCCGAGTTTGAAGCCAGACATCAGTCTGGCCTTCGGTCAACTCCAACTTGCACCTGGAAAGTATCACAAAGAAGGGCACCATGTTCGTAGTGGTCGAGTTTGTCTGACTCTTCTCATTGCAAAGATGAGACTTGACTTGCAAAAAGGGATGATTATCAGGCATCTGCGACAGGAGATGGGGAAGATTATTTTAGCCCACCAATGCAAATTATCTGCAGCCATCCTTCCCTCACCTGAATGGAAAACCCCTTCCAGTCTTGACAGATGAAAATGTGCTGCAGGCCCTTTTAAAGCAGCGGGTTTGTTCCATCACATGAGACCTATTGAAGTGTAGGTCTCTGTCTTTGCACCATCAAATGCCAATTTGATGCCATCAATCACCATCAAATGCCAAGTGGGTAACAAAA